GAGGGAGTGTTTTGCTTCTCTTTTTTATGTATGCTGCAGTTGCCTGCAGTACAGATATGGGGATATTCTCAGAGCAGGAGGACGGCTAGGAAGGCAACGGAACTAGAAGAGCTGTTTGAATAGCATCACTGGGAGCAACCAGAAAGCAATCGTGGGCAGTGTGTAAGTGGGAAGCTGGAATGCGTGTTAATGCATATGTGTGCCTTTCATTTTCTATGCACCGCTTCCAAGAACTGTGCCCATTTCCATGGGACAATTTTTTCAGACCTCTCTATGTATCCATCTTGTGCTGCAAGGGATTTTGTAAAGCCTTTGTTGTAATCTGTAAAAGAGGGACATTGCGGAGAGTCTGACAGTGTGTGCTTCCCCTGTCACAGCTTGCTTAATGGCTCCCTTTCACTCACACGCTCTCCCTTCAAACGCCTGCTGTATGCAGGCTCCTGGAGCTAACTTCTTGCCCCGTTGTCTTGATTGAGGAGCTCTGGGCAGTCTGTGGTCACCCTGGATCAGGGTTACACTGACTTCTTCTGCAGTGCTGCATTTCTCTTTCATATTCTTTCTCAGCATATGCAGGGCTCAATAGGAGAGTTTGCTGTGTTTGTCACTGAAGAAGTTGCTTTCTTCTCTTCTGATTTTCCAGCCATGTGATAAAGCCCCTACAGCTTTAGAGCCTTTAGAACAACGAAAGGGTAACGAGTCCTCTGTTCACCTGCAGAGAGAGGAGTTGATGCGGTCATATAAGACATGGAGAGCCAGAGAGATCAGCTGGAATGGGACCAAATTAAATGCATTTACTCTGCAATGTTCCATTAATGCCAAGTAATTACCACATACAGTGGGATTTTTGTTTTGTTTTGTTTTGTTTCATTTTGGCACAAGAGAATTCTTTCCAAATATGAATGCATGAGGCTGTCCGGGCTGCTGGGCTCTTAGGTAAATTATAACAAGCCTTCCCTATTCCCATATGTTCCTCTCCCTTCCTTCTGGCATTTGAAAAGCTGGCAATACAAAGATGGGAAATGCAAATGCAGAGAGAAAGTCTCATTCCCAGTGGCAGTGATGCTGGTTCTGCCACTCTGGTGCAGATTCCTGGCCTGACTTCTATCCCCAGGATGCTGCCTCGGCAAATTCAAAGTGGTCCAAAGATGGATAGCAGAGGAATGTTCCAGCTAGAAGAAAATATTCATCGGGGCGTAAAATTCTCTTGTGGTTGAATGTGCAAGCTCTGCCTGATCCCACTGGCACCCTGATCTCTGAGAGGAGTGCTGCCACAATACAAAAAAAAATACTCAGGCTGCCATGAAACTCCTATGTTAACCATCCATACTGGGCACTAGGGACTGTGTTGAAAGAGGGATGGAGGAGGGTCAGAGAGATGCAAAACTGCTGTATGATATATTTGCCACTTTATAGGAACCTCATTTTCCCACTGGATCCTCCCTAAAAACCCAGGCCTAAAACTGTCTTTGTTGTGGATCCCAGCTGATGGGAAGACAGGATGAAATGGGGAGAAGGAGACTCCTTTCCACCAGTGAATACTGTACTCATTTTCAAAGGTGCCATCCCTTCCCTTTCACCACCTCTCAGTGGTCTGGGAGCGGGGCTGGTTCAAGGTTCACATATGTTCTTCTCCAACCAGGGCCTGTGGCAGGTCTGCTAAGGCTGGTAGCTTTGAGGCATGGAAGGGGAGCATTTTTTGCATTTCCTTTAGCTGCACTGCTTTCCTGAAGTAACGAGATGTTCTGTAGTGAGCATGCATCCAGGCTGGAGAAACACTTGTGGACATCCTGTGCTTAGGTAATGCTGTGTCTTGATCATTCCCAAGTTCTCTTCTCTCTAAAAAAAACTACACAATTTTAGGATAAGCAAAGAATTTCAATTTTTAGGTATAAAAGGCACATGTCGGCAGTATGCCTGCTATAGACTGAACATGTATGAATGATATCAGCCAGTGCACAAATGGTGGGGCAGGCAGGGGCAGCAGCACCCTCAGCTTCTACACCATGTATCTGTTCAGCAGTCAGCCAGGAGCAGTTGCCAGGACTGAAAAACAACCATGGCCTCTGAAAAACGACACACAGTAGAAGGACACGCACTCAACTTGAGTGGGGAAGTTTCTTGTTTCATAGCATCAAACAAGCACTGCTTGCTTTACAGGGAGCTGTTACTTGCCACTGAGCCCTAGTCCTCAGACAGGAAAACTTCAGTGCATCTCCCCAGTCGGATGAGGTCTTCCCAGCATCCTGTTAATGAAACCAGTTGTAAGATGAGAACTGTCCAGGTTGTCTGCTGGAAGAAACATTAAATCACACACTACTGTCTCATTAGTGTCCAGTTTTCCTAGTTTGCTTTGGGATGGTGGGCTCTTCACTCCATTTCACTGCTGGGGCTGGAGCATGTTCAGTTTTGGCAGATGTTGATGATCTTGCCTTTGTCCAGGACTGCTGTCCTTGATGATGGCATTCAGGGGTTCTTTACGTGGCCATTAACTGGTCATTCACTGCCTCTAGAACGTTTCCTTGTCACTCATCTGCTTTTTTGTCAAGTAGGTATGACTATCTTGATAGTTATTATATGGCTAATAAGTCTTCTGTCTCCAGTTACCTCGAAACTTTGATTTCTGTGAGAAAGATTTGATAAAACACCTTTTGCTTTGTCAGATGAAAATATGCACAAATCACAATCGTGCTGCTCCATTATCTACCGGATTGTTTGCCCATGGTTAACAAGGCCACTTTAACACGCAGGGTTCATCATGTTTATACAAGATTGGAGACCAAATTTTATGTTCTTTAAAAAGTGAGGGGGAAGGAATCATAGGACTCAGTGATAAGGTAAATGACCAGTACCTGCTTTGAGTGTGCGCTATTTTGCTGGAAGTCTGCTTTGGAAATATCTGTTACACTCCCCAGGTGTCCTATTACAGCGTGCTCTGGTTTTGCATAGACTTGACCTGCATTATTTAGAAGTTGTCTCTAACTGATCATTCCAGACTTCTTTTCAGATCAGAGGAGATAATTTCCAAGACATTGTCATGCCTCTCATGTTTCTCTGAGAGGGTAGAGACTGTCCTTCTTTACAGTGGTGTAGAGGTAGAATTACACTTGCATGCATGAGGGGTGCTAGAGGAATGTCTTAAGAAGTGAAGAGGAAATGGCATGAAGATAAGGCTGCCTTCCATTATGGGTGTCACTGGACTAGGCTATCCTAACGCTGGTTCTTTTGCTGAGTTCAGTTTCTGGTCAGGGTAACTAGTTTTAGTGAGCCATTGTTGCAAATGACTGTTGTTTGCCTGACACTCGTACGTGTTGTCAGCTGGCCGCTTCCCACAGGTTTGTTTTTCTGATTGGCATCGAAGTTGGCCATTCTGCCTGCAAGGTTTGAGTGCTTCATATTTGGACCTTTTATTAGCCAGATGTCGAAGACTCATTTTGCTGCTTATAAGTCTCGTGGTTTAACCCCAGCAACAACTCAGCCGCACACAGCTGCTTGCTCACTCCCCCCCGGTGGGATGAGGGAAAGAATCAGAAGAGTAAAAGTGAGAAAACTCGTGGGTTGAGATAGAGACAGTTTAATAGGTAAAGCAAAAGCTGCGCACACAAGCGAAGCACAACAAGGAATTCATTCACCACTTCCCACCGGCAGGCAGGAGTTCAGCCATCTCCAGGAAAGCAGGGCTCCATCACGTGTAATGGTTACTTGGGAAGACAAACGCCATCGCTCCGAACATCCCCCCCTTCCTTCTTCTTCCCCCAGCTCTATATGCTGAGCATGACGTCATATGGTATGGAATATCCCTTGGGTCAGTTGGGATCCGCTGTCCCAGCTGTGTCCCCTCCTAACTCCTTGTGCCCCCCCCAGCCTCCTCACTGGTGGGGTGGGGTGAGGAGCAGAAAAGGCCTTGACTGTGTGTAAGCACTGCTCAGCAACAACTAAAACATCCCTGTGTTATCAACACTGTTTTCAGCACAAATCCAAAACACAGCCTCATACTAGCTTCTATGAAGAAAATTAACTCTGTCCCAGCCAAAACCAGCACAATAAGCAAAACAAGAAAAGAACTGCTTCTTTAGTCTGCCTAAAGTTTTTCTGTTATTTCTGTGACTCTTCAGGAGTTGCAAATAAAAAGAAATAAAAGCAAAGTCATCACAAATTTTGGGAAGATTTTTGTCTTTGGATATAAAATCAAGTAAGTGTAATAGTTGTACAAAAGCACTTGAATACTACGAAGCAGACATGGGTGCACAGTGGTGTTGGCTGTGGGTAATGGACATTAATAAATTAGTCAATATATGAAACCTTTGATTTAAAGCAGGAGTTGCCATCCTGAAGATCATGGCTGCCTGGCTCTTCCCATGGTGCCCAATAATAAGAGAATCGAGCTTGGATGGAAAGGAGGGAATCCTCTCTTCCTTCCCACTGCTGGCACCCTCAGTTATAAGCAGTGCTGCGTTGAAGGGATTTCTCCATCAGAGCTAATTACCCAAAATTATTTCAAAGCTATATGCCTATGTAAACAACTCCTAATAGGGGCTTTTTGCAGTAGCATTTACACCAAAGATGTTTTTTTCTCTAGATATCACTCATTTTGTTTCCTGGTGTTAACAGAATATATTGATGGTGTTGCCTCCTACCTTAAGGAGCTGGCATATGATGGAGCATATCAGCCCTAAATCCAAGCTGAAATTCTCCTCCTACCTATTTTCCTCAGTCTCTCCCTCAGATTGTGTTGGTATCACTGGAAGTTGAAGATGTTCATTTCCTGTCAGGGCACTGCAGGTTCGAGCCTTGCATTCATCAGGAGTGGGCATTTGGGATACGGTCTGGAGTATTGCAAGGATTGGATCGTGGATATGTGTGTTCTGCTGCCTGGGACAGGAAAAAAAAATGAAATCAATTAAAATATAACAAGTTGGATGCTATGCTGGGTAAAGAACAAGTTTTGGAGTGGGAAAGCTGTCGTGGATAATTTAACTCATATTTTGATCCTCTCTTTACAGCCACAGGGACTTAAAACCAGAAAACCTACTGCTGGATGAAAAGAACAACATCCGGATAGCAGACTTCGGGATGGCATCGCTGCAGGTTGGGGACAGCTTGTTAGAAACCAGTTGTGGGTGAGTGTCTCAGAACATACTGCAAAAATCAGTGAGAGGTTCCAGACATAAAAGTTGTCTATAGTAAAGGTTTCAATGAACACCTGCAAACTTACACTGTGCATTGTTATTTCCCAGCAAGATAATAAATTGATATAATATACATAGTGTATAAGATAGCTAAAAGAAGGTTTTTTCAAGTGCATTACAGTGAAAAGCAGGCCTCACATTTGGATATAAAAATCAAGGCTTTCAGGTTTGGATTCATCTGTGTACACTGGTGTGTGTTTGCTTTCACTTTTGGGAACTGAAAGCAGTGGTGTGGGGTGTTTTAAGAAGAGACTTTAAAAATATTAGGGGGTGAAAAAAAATGAATCTAGGAGTTCTGAAGTGGAATTTGCGTGTCCTGATGAGGCTGCGTGCTTGCAGCTCTTCCTGTTCATGCTCCACACTGCTTCGTTTTGGCTCACATGCAGGATTGACAGGGAGGCAGCAAGGTCCTTTGCAGTTACAAGCAGGGCATGAATGCAGGTACAAAGGAGACTGCTTGGAGGAATATTGCAGGGGCAATCTAAAAACATTTCCATGGCAATTCAGTTGCCAGCAAGAACTTTCTAGGAATTTCCAAGGGAGCCAGCAGTAAGCCCGACAGCTGAGCAAAGCCCGGGTGCCTGGCCGGGGACAGGACGTGCTCTCCGGGGGCAATGCCCCCTCATCACTCTAGGGGCACCACTGGACCATTCCCCCCACCCCCCATAGCTGTGGCTTAGTGCCGTGTTGACTGTGCAGGGGGCTGCCGCAGTAAGCTGTGGCAAGGGCAGCAGCTGCATCGAGCTGCTGCAGCTTGGCACCACTATGCCAGCTTTTAGCTGTGTCTGGATTTGTTATAACAGCGAGCTCAGCAACTGGAGTTGCAGACAGTACCGGCAGATTTCCACCTCCTCCCGTACAGACCTTCCTGGCCTTTGGCAGTGTGCATCTGATGATTCCAGCCCAGCCCCGTCCTCAGCTGGTTACAGTCCATGTTTTTTCAGTCTGTGCTCTCAGCCAAGGCAATTCAGGGTAGACGTGGAACCATCGTGGTTCCCTGTGCAGCCCAGCCACTGCCTCTCAATCTGATCTGTACGGCTCTGCTTTCCAAGTCGTGAATAATGGATAGCGAAATTATTTGAAGTTCATGATGTGATCGAATGCTGGTTGATGAGTACACTGAGACCCACCCTGTCCGGGGGTTCCTTCCTGTTTGTGTCAAGATTTGACCTCTTAACAGCACAGATGAAAAGCGAGGAGCTATGAGTCTGCACATCTTGTAGCTGCTTTCAAACCTCCCCTCTAGATTAGGAAATGAAGTGCTCCCTGCAGTTACCACAAAGCCTCTATACTCTTTAGATAAATTTTTCCCCCTTTCCTTCCATGAAAAAAATCAGAGGTATAAAAACCAACCCAGTCTCACATTGCCCTGTAGGATTTTTCAAACTCCTCGAGAGCCTCTCGGTAGGATTCCTGTTCTTGTTAGCACCGGGCTCTGTCATCAAGGTCTAGAGTCTCAAAGGGAGACTTCCTTTCCATAAGCTGTGCTGGTATTCAAACCTCCATGCTTCAAGCAGAGCCAGCCCCCACATTGTGGCCTTAAAACGCGCTAATAAAGAAATCAATGGAACGGAAGAGACGTGCCTGTAATAAACAGAACACAGCAGCAACGCTATGATCTCCTGCCTTGCAGATGCATTTTAAGTGTGGTGCCAATCACTAGGCCTCCGTGTGAGCTATTACACCACTTCATTAATTCTCCTGGCATGGAGCCCAGCATGGATACTGGTGTCTTGTGATCTCTCTGGTTTGGGGGGTGAAGGGAGGAAGGAAGGAAAGAATATATAACAGTATGCCACACTGTTCACAAAGAAAGGCAATCCAGTTATGACTCCCTTTCCCTTGGAGCACACACAGTAACCAACCTCAGAGCTTTTCAAGGCAACAGTTTTACCTACCCTGGTAGTTGGTACTTTCAGCCACCATGAAAAGGAACAAAACAGAGTGAATCATGGCTGAGATACTGAGCTTTAATGAGATGCTCCTCCGTGCACCCAGAAGTTAATTTCCAGAATGGTTTTATCTGTGTTCTGTGCTGTGAACACTGATAATGAGATGAAACTGTAACATTTCCATTGACAGTCACACAAGGAGTCTCCAGGTATTTCTGTCAGTCAGAGTGGGAGGATCAGATGGGGTTGAGCCGTATGATGCAGCTAACTTTGTCAGAACAGCAGAGCGGTTAGAGTGCAGTCAAAAATTCTTTGCTGTCACTGCTAAGTTTAGTCCAGAGTTTGGGTAGGCTTTAGGTCACCACAGAGCCTTGACGGGCCTCATGAAGAAAATCACGTAGCCTGAAGTATGCTGTATTGCATACCTCAGAGTCAGTGTTTTCTGGGAGCTACTCCTTAGATCTGCATGGTTTTCTGTAGCACTGATGCCTACCTGGAGAAAACAATGAAAGTTCAGTCCAGTTGTGTTTGTGTAAGAGAGGGAGGTAAGGATGGACTTACTGTTCCATTGACAATTTGTCACTGACAGACGGCACATTGGTTGTAATGAATCCCCATTACTGGAAATGTATATTGTGCAAATCCTGCATATACACAGCACAAAGGAATAAGCCATAGTTTTAAATGTTGTCTTTAGACCCTTGAGGGGAAGAGGAGCTGTGTGTAGGGTCTGCAGGAATAATTCTGCTTACTGCAGAAATTACACAGCAAGGCAGTCTCATGGAGAGATGGTCCTTGAAATGCCAAAGTAACACAGCAAGTCTCTGCATTCCTCCAGGAGCACGGGAGGTCTGTGTGCAAACAGCAGACAAGGAAGGAAGCAGAAGATGTGGTAGGATGCTGCTTCTATTATTTCAGATCTCATCGGCTCTTCCTCCTCTTTACCCATCCAGGCAGTGGCATGCAGAGACACTCCCCTCTCTCTTTTCACAGCGATTCTTCCCAGCGTGCTGCCTCGCAATGTTTCAGAATGGTAGCTATTGTCCAATCCATCCTGAATTGTCACTAGGCAAGAAGAGTGAGTGCCTTATGGTTAAACCTCAGGACTGAGACCCAGGTAATCTGAGCTTGATTTCTGTCTCTGCTGAAGGCGTTCAGGGTGGTCTTGGACAAGATGCATTACTTTTCTCTGCTTCAGTTCTCCATCTTAGCAAGTCACTGCAGTGCCCAAGTTGCTCTGAACATAAATTACAGTCATTTCTATAGGAGTCTTGGAAAAATAGGAAGGGTTGGGGCGTTCCCTGGACCTTGTTCCCTTTTCTTGAACTAAGAGGGCTCATGGCTAAAATGAAGATTGAAGGAAGATACTGTTGAGATACAGTTCTTGGGAGCTTGTAAAGATCCTTCCTAATTCCCCATTGCTCCTTACAGAAACCTGGGAAAGTAAATTTTTGCCATCTCTTCACTTCTCTCCGTTTCACTCATCACAGCTGCGAAACACCGAGTCCAAGTGGATGGAGACTGCTGCAAGCTGCCAGGTGGCCAAGAACCCACAGCAGTGCTAGTCTCTGTGCTGCCTGCCTCCAAATCTCTCTATCCCAACCAAGAGCTAGGACAGAGCTGACATGTAAATGTAGCTCGCTCCAGCACCAGACCCGATTTCTGCAGAGGCAGTCGGTATGGAGACTGACACCACTGCTGACAGTTCCCCCATATTGGTGTCTCCATAGGGAACCCCTGGCCTGATCCAGAAAGCTGTGTGGGAAGAGCGATGCTGACTATGATTTTATTGAGAGTGAGAAAAAAGCCTTGCGTCTGTCGGTGGCATAATGGAGGAAAACAGCAGCTTCCATCCCCAGCACACTCAATTCTTCTGCTTTCAGCTCTCCCTAGCAATTCCTAGCAACACTTTGCAGACCCACAGATTGCCTGCACCTATCAAAAAAAAAAGCGCATATTCTCATTAGGAATGATTACTGGCTCTTTTTGAGATCAGGGTATTTATAACAACCAATGCACTGTGTGTTTGTTAGAAATGCTAGCGGAGATCATCTAGTTCCTCATTCCCTTACATCTGTATTTGGTGTATCAGTACACCTGTCATGAGCAGATAATTCAGAAGAGCGATATTCACACACCTCGGTGTCCAAGCACCATTTCTGGTTTTAATGACAAGACGTCATGCCTCACGTATTCTTTCACCTTTATAATAAATGTGTGCATGTTGTCTAAAACATGCAAGTGTCCTACATCCAGTTATTGTTAGGGTTGCAAATTTAGGGTCTTAAAATCGGAAATGCCAGAATTAGTACTTTTTACCCCATCTCATCAAGAGATTCCATTCCCAGCACTCCATTCCAGACGGGGCTCTAAGCAACCTGATCTAGTTGAAGATGTCCCTGCCCACGGCATGGGGTTGGACTAGATGACCTTTAAAGGTCCCTTCCAACCCAAACTATTCTATGATTCCCATCTCCTTCTCTGATTTGCACTCTAGTCTTGCCGACTTCTCCCAGTCATTTCTGCTCCGTATTTGGCCCCAAATCCCAGATCCTTTCCTCTTTTCCTCTAGGTTCCAGCTCTAGTTTCCCCTGTTTGGTTGTCCCAGTCAGTTACTGTCAGTCCTAGATCTATTTCCTGTTGGTTTTGCGTTCACTTTATTTTGAAGTTTGGTACCTTGTGATAACCCCAGCCACAGCAGCTCATAGTATCAGTTTCAGGTAGAAAAATTGTTCTGTGAAGTGTTACCAGTACAGGTAGAATTTTGATCCTGATGCTCTAGAGGGTTTCTGCTAGTAAATGCAAACTGCAGTTTTCTAGTGGCAGTTTGAGTAACTTTTTCTAGAGAATGCAAACAATATTCAAGTTTTCCCTTTGCAGTTGAGGATACTAGAAATTTTCCTTTTTTATGGGAAAAAACATTTAATTTAGATTAGACTTAGATAGTGGAAATGTTTCGGCCCGTACACAATATGCATGCACACACAAACATGAAACCAGTCTCCGGCAGACGAAAAGCGAGGAAAATTGTTGTTAAGT